CACAATTCAATAGAATTTGGAAGATAATAGAGCATCAAATCTGCTTTATTGTCTTCATTGCTCGTCGTCTTCATTGCGTGAATAGCCGTTTGAAGATATAAAACCATCGTGAAAAATTTCATTTACTAGTAGAAAACTTTCCTAAAAATAAGTTTATAAAAGATTTTCACATGTTTAGGAACGACTTCCTAAACAACTTCCTAAACAAGTAGAAAATTTTCTTAAAAAAAAACTTAGGAAGGATTTTCAGTTGTTTAGGAAGACCTTCCTAAACACCTTCATAAACAAGTAGGAAACTTTCTTAAAAATAAGTTTATGAAGGATTTTCATTTGTTTAGGAAGGTCTTTCTAAACACCTTTTTAAACAAGTAGGAAACCATCTTGAAAGAACTATAGGAAGAATTTTTACTTGTTTAGGAAGGTCTTACTAAACAAGTAAAAAACCTTTTTAAAAATAAGTTAAGGAAAGATTTTCACTTGTTTAGGAATGCCTTCATAAACACCTTCATAAATAAGTAGGAAACCTTCCTAGAAATATGTTTAGAAATGATCTTCACTTGTTTAGGATGACTTTCCTAAACACATTCCTAAACAAGTAAAAAACTTATTTAAAAAAAATTTAGGAAATATCTTCACTTGTTTAGGAAGGTCTTCCTAGATACGTTCCTAAACAAGTTGGAAACCTTCCAAGAAATAAGTTTAGGAAGGATTTTCACTTGTTTAGGAAGGTCTTCCTAAACACATTCCTAAACAAGTAGGAAACCTTCCTAAACATAAGTTTATGAATGATTTTTCACTTGTTTAGGATGGTCTTACTAAACAAGTATGAAATCTTTCTTAAGAATGAGTTTAGGAAGGATTTTCACTTGTTTAGGAAGGATTTTCACTTGTTTAGGAAGACCTTCCTAAACATCTTCCTAAACAAGTAGGAAATCTTTTTAAAAATAAGTTTCATCTTATTATCTCATCTTTAGTGAAATGGTTCAATATCTTTTTAGTAAAATAATATATTTTTTTTCTCTTTAAATCAACAACCTCTTAACAATCGTTTGACACCAATATTATCTAAATTTTTTTTATGTCTTTATATATATATATATATTTTTTTATCAAATCTTTTATATTTTTATTCATTTGTTCTTAAATATATATTTATTTTACATATTTCAATTTTTGAAATTAAATATATAAAATTTTATCATTATCCTAAACTTATAATCAAATATATTTATTAAAGTAATTTTAAATATTCAAATAGTTTTATATGTACTATTTTTAGTTATTTGTTGACTTATTTTCGTATTTATTTAATTAAAAAATTTAGAAGCTATAAGTGATAATAAATATACATAAATATGAATTAAATGAACTTAATTAAAATTAAAACTATTATAAAGAAAATGTTTTGCCTATGTAGAAACCTTAGATGGAGAGAAAACTTTGC